CTAATAAACACAGTGTATAAAAAGAAAACATAGGTAAACAACAAAGGCAAAGAGTCTATTTTAGATTGAAACAAACTGAAATTGTTCAACACAAACAAAGAGAAATTGAGCAGGGCAAGCGATTAGTTTCAAAAGATAAAAACCACAGAAATGTGGTAATAGTCTGTAGTATCCCAGATCTTAAAGTTTTTCCTGTTTAACAACAACATTTTTCCCTTCTTCATAGAGGAGGAGAATTGATCCAGAAGCGATCTCTTCACACCATTAGAATCTTCAGGTTCAATGTCTAGACTTTGAGACTGTTGTATACTTAATGGACTGTTGACCTCATTGTCTCCATTAGAAGCCTCCTGTATATTAAAAGTTGATTTAGTCCGAAACATGTCAAACATAGACTTAAAATGTAAATATTTATTTTACTTTATTAAAAATAACAACCTGATCAGATTCCTCATCTTCCTCCTCGTCCTCATCTATCATTTTTGTCATCAAGTCCTTCTCTTGGTCTTCAATAAGTTTAGAACAGTATGTTGACACTAAGACTTCATCCCTTAGAACTCTCGTCACAGTGTAGGCTGAATTAGCTCCCTTCATGAACTCCATTTTTAATGATATCTTAAATACCATTCTCAAACCAACTAAGGATTCCAATTCTCTTGGAATGTCAGAAACCTAAAATAAAGAAAATAGCATACTTTTTTAAAAAAAAAAAAAGAAAAAGAAAAAGACAAACAGAGTTCATATGAATATGTTAAATTTTACAGTGCTGTTACTTTACCTTATTATACTTCATGTACAAACTGTGTGCTGCGATACCAACTAATTCAGAACACTCCCTATCCCATAAAAGGAAGGGAGCATCTCGTAGACCTTTATCTAGAACAATAACTTTGACCCGATACCTTGCCATGCCCCCTTGATACTAGTTATCACAGTGTGTACAAATCAGATCACCTAATTGTCCAGAAAGCTTTCTGTTACATCCTGGTGACATGCAAGAGATGTACATCTATCCAAAAGAGTCTTCAATGGCCAAAATTTTAGCAGGTACATAGAACTCCCCATTCTGCCATATAAAATGTAACTTGGTTACTCTGTCTTATTAAATGTATAATGAGTTTTGTGGACTGTATTAAGGATTTAAAAAAGTTTAGAGTCTAACTTGCTTCTTTTTCAACAGATCAGCTACTGGAGTTACAGTAAAAGCACCATAGTGTATAAAAAGAAAGCATAGGTAAACAACAAAGGCAAAGAGTCTATTTTAGATTGAAACAAACTGAAATTGTTCAACATAAACAAAGAGAAATTGAGCAGGGCAAGCCATTAGTTTCAAAAGATAAAAACCACAGAAATTTGGTAGTAGTCTGTAGTATCCCAGATCTTAAAGTTTTTCCTGTTTAAGAACAACATTTTTTCCCTTCTTCCTAGAGGAGGAGAATTGATCCAGAAGCGATCTCTTCACACCATTAGAATCTTCAGGTTCAATGTCTAGACTTTGAGACTGCTGTATACTTAATGGACTGTTGACCTCATTGTCTCCATTAGAAGCCTCCTGTATATTAAAAGTTGATTTAGTCCAAAACATGTCAAACATAGACTTAAAAATGTAAATATTTATTTTACTTTATTAAAAATAACAACCTGATCAGATTCCCCATCTCCCTCCTCGTCCTCATCTATCATTTTTGTCATCAAGTCCATCTCTTGGTCTTCAATAATTTTAGAACAGTAAGCTAACACTAAGACTTCATCCCTTAGAACTCTCATCACAGTGTAGGCTGAATTAACTCCCTTCATGAACTCCATTTTTAATGATATCTTAAATACCATTCTCATACGAACTAAGGATTCCAATTCTCTTGGAATGTCAGAAACCTAAAATAAAGAAAATAGCATACTTTAGAAAAAAAAAAAAAAAAAAAAAAAAAAAAAAAAGACAAACAGAGTTCATATGAATGTGTTAAATTTTACAGTACTGTTACTTTACCTTATTATACTTCGTGTACAAACTGTGTGCTAGGATACCAACTAATTCAGAACACTCCCTATCCCATAAAAGGAAGGGAGCATCTCGTATACCTTTATCTAGAACAATAACTTTGACCCGATACCTTGCCATGCCCTCTTGATACTTCTTATCACAGTGTGTACAAATCAGATAACCTAATTGTCTAGAAAGCTTTTTGTTACATCCTGGTGACATGCAAGAGATGTACATCCATCCAAAAGAGCCTATAATGGCCACAATTTCAGCAGGTACATAGAACTCCCCATTCTGCCTTAGAAAATGTAACTTGGTTACTCTGTCTTATTAAATGTATAATGGGTTTTGTGGACTGTATTAAGGATTTATAAAAGTTTAGAGTCTAACCTGCTTCTTTTTCAACAGATCAGCTACTGGAGTTACAGTCAAAGCACCACAGTGTATAAATAGAAAGCATAGGTAAACAACAAAGGCAAAGAGTTTATTTTAGATTGAAACAAACTGAAATTGTTCAACACAAACAAAGAGAAATTGAGCAGGGCAAGCGATTAGTTTCAAAAGATAAAACCCACAGAAATGTGGTAATAGTCTGTAGTATCCCAGATCTTAAAGTTTTTCTTGTTTAACAACAACAAATTTTCCCTTCTTCCTAGAGGAGGAGAATTGATCCAGAAGCGATCTCTTCAAACCATTATAATCTTCAGGTTCAATGTCTATACTTTGACACTGCTGTATACTTAATGGACTGTTGACCTCATTGTCTCCATTAGAAGCCTCCTGTATATTAAAAGTTGATTTAGTCCAAACATGTCAAACATAGACTTAAAAATGTAATTATTTATTTTACTTTGTTAAAAATAACAACCTGATCAGATTCCTCATCTTCCTCCTCGTCCTCATCTATCATTTTTGTCATCAAGTCCTTCTCTTGGTCTTCAATAAGTTTAGAACAGTATGCTGACACTAAGACTTCATCCCTTAGAACTCTCGTCACAGTGTAGGCTGAATTAGCTCCCTTCATGAACTCCATTTTTAATGATATCTTAAATACCATTCTCAAACCAACTAAGCATTCCAATTCTCTTGGAATGTCAGAAACCTAAAATAAAGAAAATAGCATACTTTTTAAAAAAAAAAAAAAAAAAAAAAAAAAAAAGACAAACAGAGTTCATATGAATGTGTTAAATTTTACAGTACTGTTACTTTACGTTATTATACTTCGTGTACAAACTGTGTGCTGGGATACCAACTAATTCAGAACACTCCCTATCCCATAAAAGGAAGGGAGCATCTCGTAGACCTTTATCTAGAACAATAACTTTGACCCGATACCTTGCCATGCCCCCTTGATACTTGTTATCACAGTGTGTACAAATCAGATCACCTAATTGTCCAGAAAGCTTTCTGTTACATCCTGGTGACATGAAAGAGATGTACATCCATCCAAAAGAGTCTTCAATGGCCACAATTTTAGCAGGTACATAGAACTCCCCATTCTGCCATAGAAAATGTAACTTGGTTACTCTGTCTTATTAAATGTATAATGAGTTTTGTGGACGTATTAAGGATTTATAAAAGTTTAGAGTCTAACCTGCTTCTTTTTCAACATATCAGTTACTGGAGTTACAGTCAAAGCACCACAGTGTATAAAAAGAAAGCATAGGTAAACAACAAAGGCAAAGAGTCTATTTTAGATTGAAACAAACTGAAATTGTTCAACACAAACAAAGAGAAATTGAGCAGGGCAAGCCATTATTTTCAAAAGATAAAAACCACAGAAATTTGGTAATAGTCTGTAGTATCCTAGATCTTAAAGTTTTTCCTGTTTAACAGCAACATTTTTTCCCATCTTCCTAGAGGAGGAGAATTGATCTAGAAGCGATCTCTTCACACCATTAGAATCTTTAGGTTCAATGTCTAGACTTTGAGACTGCTGTATACTTAATGGATTGTTGACCTCATTGTCTCTATTAGAAGCCTCCTGTATATTAAAAGTTGATTTAGTCCAAAACATGTCAAACATAGACTCAAAAATGTAAATTTTTATTTTACTTTATTAAAAATAACAACCTGATCAGATTCCCCATCTTCCTCCTCGTCCTCATCTATCATTTTTGTCATCAAGTCCTTCTCTTGGTCTTCAATAAGTTTAGAACAGTATGCTGACACTAAGACTTCATCCCTTAAAACTCTCATCACAGTGTAGGCTGAATAAACTCCCTTCATGAACTCCATTTTTAGTGATATCTTAAATACCATTCTCATACCAACTAAGGATTCCAATTCTCTTGGAATGTCAGAAACCTAAAATAAAGAAAATAGCATACCTTAAAAAAAAAAAAAAAAAAAAAAAAAAAAAAAAGACAAACAGAGTTCATATGAATGTGTTAAATTTTACAATACTGTTACTTTACCTTATTATACTTCGTGTACAAACTGTGTGCTGGGATACCAACTAATTCAGAACACTCCCTATCCCATAAAAGGAAGGGAGCATCTCGTAGACCTTTATCTAGAACAATAACTTTGACCCGATACCTTGCCATGCCCCCTTGATACTTGTTATCACAGTGTGTACAAATCAGATCACCTAATTGTCCAGAAAGCTTTCTGTTACATCCTGGTGACATGAAAGAGATGTACATCCATCCAAAAGAGTCTTCAATGGCCACAATTTTAGCAGGTACATAGAACTCCCCATTCTGCCATAGAAAATGTAACTTGGTTACTCTGTCTTATTAAATGTATAATGAGTTTTGTGGACGTATTAAGGATTTATAAAAGTTTAGAGTCTAACCTGCTTCTTTTTCAACATATCAGTTACTGGAGTTACAGTCAAAGCACCACAGTGTATAAAAAGAAAGCATAGGTAAACAACAAAGGCAAAGAATCTATTTTAGATTGAAACAAACTGAAATTGTTCAACACAAACAAAGAGAAATTGAGCAGGGCAAGCCATTATTTTCAAAAGATAAAAACCACAGAAATTTGGTAATAGTCTGTAGTATCATAGATCTTAAAGTTTTTCCTGTTTAACAGCAACATTTTTTCCCATCTTCCTAGAGGAGGAGAATTGATCTAGAAGCGATCTCTTCACACCATTAGAATCTTTAGGTTCAATGTCTAGACTTTGAGACTGCTGTATACTTAATGGATTGTTGACCTCATTGTCTCTATTAGAAGCCTCCTGTATATTAAAAGTTGATTTAGTCCAAAACATGTCAAACATAGACTCAAAAATGTAAATTTTTATTTTACTTTATTAAAAATAACAACCTGATCAGATTCCCCATCTTCCTCCTCGTCCTCATCTATCATTTTTGTCATCAAGTCCTTCTCTTGGTCTTCAATAAGTTTAGAACAGTATGCTGACACTAAGACTTCATCCCTTAAAACTCTCATCACAGTGTAGGCTGAATAAACTCCCTTCATGAACTCCATTTTTAATGATATCTTAAATACCATTCTCATACCAACTAAGGATTCCAATTCTCTTGGAATGTCAGAAACCTAAAATAAAGAAAATAGCATACCTTAAAAAAAAAAAAAAAAAAAAAAAAAAAAAAGACAAACAGAGTTCATATGAATGTGTTAAATTTTACAATACTGTTACTTTACCTTATTATACTTCGTGTACAAACTGTGTGCTGGGATACCAACTAATTCAGAACACTCCCTATCCCATAAAAGGAAGGGAGCATCTCGTAGACCTTTATCTAGAACAATAACTTTGACCTGATACCTTGCCATGCCCTCTTGATACTTCTTATCACAGTGTGTACAAATCAGATCACCTAATTGTCCAGAAAGCTTTTTGTTACATCCTGGTGACATGCAAGAGATGTACATCTATCCAAAAGAGCCTTCAATGGCCACAATTTTAGCAGGTACATAGAACTCCCCATTCTGCCATAGAAAATGTAACTTGGTTACTCTGTCTTATTATATGTATAATGAGTTTTGTGGACTGTATTAAGGATTTATAAAAGTTTAGAGTCTAACCTGCTTCTTTTTCAACAGATCAGCTACTGGAGTTACAGTCAAAGCACCACTGGTGAAGTCATCAATTCCTGTGGATTGAGACAACACAGTTGCAGTGCTAATACTGCGTAAAGGGTTATTTGATGCAGTTAACCTACAGGTTACATTTATGAATAAGTTGTATAAATTACAGATACAGTAGTTTAGAAAATGTAGACAGTTGATAACAAATATATTTCAGGCACTTACTGAGACTTAAAATCAGCAAATTCCTGAAAAGATGCATTCAAATGAAGTTGGGTAGCATCATAGCAGCTAGTAATTCTGATTTCACCTATTAGCACCATAGATGTTAATGTACAATGGAAAACCTAGAAAAAATTTAAAAGAATAATCTATCATTATAACTTACCATTGACCACTTTTGCCCGACAAAGCTGAAGAACCAAAATTGGTGGTTCTTTAAGACCAGAATCATAGTATGGTAGCATGGAACCAACATGACTGTCCCACACAGTGCACTGTAAGGTATTTCCCCTATATGCAAGTGTGTTAGAAAGAATATAATGATTACAAATATAGGAACATAGTTGTTAGTAGGAAACTTACTCATTATCAGCCATTTTAAAGTCTAGAAGTTTGGCTGGTCTGCCTCCTATTATTTTGTCAACAGGAACATAGATCTCGACAACTCTACCTATTAAATCTGTATCAACACAAAATAATTGAATAGTAGACCAAATACAAAAATAGATAAATGAAAAATAGAGAAAACATGAACTAAATACTTACCAAACAACACCTTGTCATTGACTTGAGTAGGGTCTTTCAAAGAGTCATAGGTTTTTAGCTGAAACATCTTATTAGGAAAACCTTTCGATTTGATTGCCTTTACCTGAGTCTTATAGTTTAGCCTAATCATATATTGGTGATCACAAGTTTTGTAAGTATAATAGTGGGTGAACACCAAAAAGTTTTTTACTGAATAGAGCTTCCCTTCTATGAAAACATTTTTGTATTTTTTGACATCACTGTTATGCATGTTCAAATGTATGAAAGTTCCCTGCACATAGGATTAGTGAAATAAATAAAACATGTGTAGAGCATAAATATGTGTAAAGCCTAAAACTTAAACAGTAAACTAAAATATTAAACATGTAACGAAAATACCTCTTTATCGCAGACCAACACTTCTCGACTCTTGATCTCTGTAGACCCTCTGTTTTCAGCTATTTCGTAGCATCTAACACACTTGACTCTTATTGCTTTCTCCCTATCGAGCGGGCCAATGTCTTTTACAGCAACATACATTGGCATGGTTTAGTTGCTGATATTTTGGGTCTCTTTTTTCTAAATGGCAGGTGATACAAACTGCAGATATCCTGAAGTTGGGAGGGGATTTCTCCATCGACACAGGCTTATATAGAATGTAAAACTATGGATTTCAAAATCTAGGAAGTATGAATGGTGCTGTCGACCTTTCAGTTTTCAAGAGCATGTTGAGCAGACATTTAAATCTGTTTGAGAAATCAGTTTTCGAAGCAGTGTTTATAATGAACACTGTGTTTAGAAGTGTGTAATAATTAGAAGTCTATTTAATTTGATTTATTTTACTTGGTATTCCCAAAAAGTAGCCGGCACAATTTAATTCCACGCACTAAGCTTTGTTTAGCACCATTTATTTAAGATCTTCTTTTGTGGACATATAATGACGTCGTTTTAATTGGGCGGGAGTTTGGCATAGGCAGAAACTTAGTGCTTTATTATAATGATAATGATAGATAGATTGCAAGGAAAATGTATTTTATTATAAATATATCATTATGTGGATATTATTATAGATTATATAATAGTTATAACGGTTCCTGTATTTATGTCTCTATTATATCTTCCGTTATATTTGTATTATATATATAGAAGTGTTGTGGTTGTATGAGGACACACAGATGAATGAACAGTTGATTCTCCCTTTCTCCCTTATCTCTCTATTTCTGATTTTACTTTTAACATATTTTAATTTGCTGCATGTTTATTTTTGCAATGATATTGTGTGTTGTTGAAAATACGGTTGCAAAATCCATAATTTTTAAATAATAATAAAATGTTGCAATAGAATTGAAGGTCGTTGCAAATTCTGTGGCAAAAATTGCAACGAATGTAGTTTTCCATTGCAAAAAATGTATTACCCCATTTCTTTTGAGCCAAAATTGCATCGGAAAATTTTTTCCATTGCAATGGAATGCAATTAATTGCAGCTGAGAATTTTTTTAGTAGTGGGATGTCATGAACAAAAGGTGTTTGATAAATTGCCTCTTAGGCACTCATGAGTCATAAGAATGTTCATGTGTGTTCTAAGAGCGTGGAATGATAATATTGAAAAAGACTTCATCCTGTTTAGTGACATATGATGCCAAGTCATTTAACTCTTATTCTTGTCCCCGGTTTTGTCACGTCGCTTGAGGTTAATCTAAACACTTACTCTACTCCACCTTTTCTTTTTAATCAATTGTTATTCGTTTCACTTCTATTGGTCTACTTCTATCTTACTCAAATGATCTTTTTTAGGGTTCATATTTCAATAGAGGTTTTAGTACCTTGATGGATGCGAACTCCATCAAAACCCAATGTAGAGTTGTTAGACAATAAATTAATATAGGAATTGAGGTGGTGATTTGTTACCGCCAGAACATTCCAATCTCAAGTAAAAGAGCTAGCTAGCCGGCGCAACACATCTCTGGGTGACCATATCTGACGCTTGAACACCACCAAATTCCTTTGCTTCCAGATCAACCAACATAATGCCACACATCCACTAATAGCCAAATCATCACTTCCCTCAATAACCAGAGAAAGTCACTGTACTCTGCAAAATCATTCGTGTTAGTGGCTGTTGGACAACTCGGCAAATTGCTCCACAAGTTTCTGGAATGTTGACACTGTCTGAAGAGGTGCATCGGAGTTTCAGGAAACAAATGGCAAAGAGGACATTCAACAGCAATAGAAACCCCTCGGCCAACAAGAGTCATACAAGTAGGAAAGATCCCTCGGGCACACCGCCAAAGAAAATTTAGAATTTTTGGAGGAAGCTTAAGCTTCCACAATGACGACCAAGTAGTGAACTGGGTGGATTCTCTAACAGCTCCTTCAGAAAGAACTTTATAGCCATGTTTTACAGTGTAAATCTCGTGAGTGTCATCCCTCCAACACCATTGATCTTCGTAAGAGGGTGAGATTGATAAAGTAAGAAGACTCTCCACCTCATGCAAAGTTCAGTAGCCTCACTCATCTTCTGGAAAAGCAGTGTCACAGTTTATAAAGCCAAAGGGCTTCTCTGTCTTTTGTCCTTCACCTTGTTAGTTGTAATCGTTTCCCTGTACTTTGTATCTTTCAGACCTCTTGCAGAGTTAATAATACTTTCCCTTTCAATCATGTACTGAGCCATTTCATCATGGTATCAGAGCGGCGAGATCGAAGCTATGCTGTAGTGGTAACAACAGGAAACGAAACCGGCGAGGGAAATTCCACCGGACAGCAAACTAACGGTGACGAAATTTCTACCGGACAACAAACCAGAGCTTCTTCAAATCAGAATTCGATGAACTCGAATCTGGATGAATTTGATGATCCGATGTACCTTCATATTACCGAGAATCCTAATTTTGTTCTCGTTTCACCGCCGTTGTCCGAGACTAACTACGCATCCTGGAGCAGATCAATGAGGATACCGCTATAAGTAAAAAACAAATTCGGATTTGTTGACGGATCGATCGTGAAGCCAGGAGAAGATGAGCCTAGGTACGCAATCTGGAAAAGGTGCAATAATATTGTGTGTTCGTGGAGTCTTAGGTCTCTCAGCTCTACGATAGTCGAAGGTGTTCTGTATTTTGAAGTGGCGAAAGACATCTGGAATGCGCTCAAGAGGAGATACTCTTAGGTTGATCCTCATAGAATTGCTGAGTTGCAGAATCAGATTTATAGGTGCTCACAAGGTAACCTATCTGTCAATAAGTACTTTACTAAAAGTAATGCCTTATGGATGCAATTGAATGCTATGAGGTATGTTCTAGCTTGTGAGTGTATGCCTAAATGTTCCTGCAAACTTGTAAGTAAGATCCAAAAGGAAAAGGAAGAAGATCAGATTTTCAGGTTCTTAGAAGGCTTGAATGAGGAGTATGAGAGCATTAAGTCAGGTATTCTCGTTTTGGAGCCCATCCCAGTCATGGAGAAGGTGCTTAACATGACCTTAAAAATGGAAAGGAAAATTAAGAATTCACCCAATCTGAAATGCAGTGAGTTAAATCAGGCTAATGCAGTGCACAATGATCAGATTCACTATGCAGAAGAACAACTTGTTATGGCAATCTCATCTTCAAATAACATAATGAAATTTCACGAAGAAATGTCCCAATGTAGTTTTCTTAAAAAAATTCAAATAACTTTGTTTATTATAAATAAAATTCTAACATAATGCAAACTAGAGATCTTTTTGTATATTTAAAAGAGATGTCCTTCTATCATTCTTTGACGCAAACTCAACCATAGTTGCAATTTTTCCCTTGCAATTTTTTCGTTATAATGCGAGTTTTGCAATGAACTTCACTATTCCATTGCAAATATCATTGCAAACTAATTATTTTTTTAAAAAAAAATTGCATGGAAAATGTATTCCATTGCAACGTATTCCGTTGCATGTTTATTTTTGCAATGATATTGTGTGTTGTTGCAAATACCGTTGCAAAACCCATAATTTTTAAATAATAATAAAATGTTACAACGAAATTGATGGTCGTTGCAAATTCTGTTGTAAAAATTACGAGTATAGGTTTCCATTGTAATTACTGTTGCAAAAATGTTTTCCTCCATTTTTTGAGCAAAAATTTTCACTTGCGCCAAAAATTGCATTGGAAATTTTTTCTGTTTCTGTTGCAATTTTGCATTGAAATTCATTCCATTGCAATTTCCCATTGCAGCTGAGAAGTTTTTTAGTAGTGGGATGTCAAGAACACATGTTGTTTAATGAATTGCCTCTTAGGCACTTATATTATTGAGTCATAAGAATGTTCGCGTACGTGTGTCCTAAGAGCGTGAAATGGCATTGAGAAAGACTTTCTCCTGTTCAGTGGCATATAATCATAGTATTCAAAAAGAAAAAAAAAAAATTTAAAGTGAATATGGATTTGATTATAGATGAAAATAATATGTGATTGTGTTGAAGCATGAAAGAAAATTATTTTTTTTAATTAAGTAATTTTTATTTTAACATATCTTACTATTTACTATAAAGTCTATATACTGTAACATGTTTTTCTATTTTATGTAAAAATCATATAATGTAATTGAAATTTTATTATTAAGATATATATTTATAAAAATTTTATAGTCTATTTATACTCTTATTAAAAACAAAATCCTCCTTCCTTCCATTTTCGCTCAAAGAATAGAAAATGAAAAAAGTTACTAATTAATAATATTAATAATAATCAGTAAAAAAGTTAGTAGTAAATAGGAATAAAAAAAAAAGATCCTTAATTCACGAAGAATGGAAAAAAATGAAATTCACTGATTAATTAATACTAATAATAATCAGTAAAAAAGTTAACAGTAAAATAAAAAAATAAAAAAGAATCTGTAATTCACTGAAAATAGAAAAGGAAATGGAATTGACTGATAAATTAATACTAATTATAATCAGTAAAAAAGTTAGTGGTAAAATAAGAAAAAAAAAAAAAAGGATCCTCAATTCATTGAAGATGGAAAAGGAAAGGCAAGATTGTGCCACAAAAAAAAAAAAAAAAAAAAAAAAAAAAAAAAAAAAAGAGGGTGGGGGGGGGGGGGGGGGGGGGGGGTCATAATAAGAATACCAGTACACAAGGAAAATCCTATAAAAATTTCTGATTAATAATAATAATAATAATAATAATAATAATAATAATAATAATAATGATAATGATAATAATAATAATAATAATAATAATAATAATAATAATAATAATAATAATAATAATAATAATAATAATAATAATAATAATAATGTATACTATTAATAAAAATAAAATCCTCCTATGTAGTTTCCAGTTTGAAAAGTAGTATAAAATGGATGATTAGGAAAATGAAGGTTATAGTATTCAAAAAAAAAAAAAAGGTGAATATGGTTTTGATTATAGATGGAAGTAATATGTGATTGTGTTGAGGCATGAATGAAAATTATTATTTTTTAATTAGGTAATTTTTATTTTAGCATATCTTACTATTTACTATAAAGTCTATATACTGTAACATGTTTTTCTATTTTATGTAAAAACCATATAATGTAATTG